AATCAGTGTGTTTTTTTTTTTCTTTACCCTTGTGTCATTTGTGAACAGTGTTGAAACAAACTAAAATCTAATATGGGTCATATCTTATATGGGGTCACTATGTGCATGTGCAATTGTGCCCAGGTTAATTTATCATAACCTGTGATCTTAAGTAAGAACATTCTTTAGGTTTACTTACTATAGTATATGGTTTAAAGGATCAGTCCACACAAAACAGATTTGTTTTTGGTTAGTGCTGGAAAGTTAACCCATTTGCCAATTTCTCTTTTGGAATTCTCATATTGACAAATCTGCACTCAAGTTCTTGCTTTGCACCTCCTGGGGTCCCATTCTCCCTGTTGGACTTTTTATTAAGTTAATGTTAGGAAGGATGCAACAGGAGGTGCTGAAACATATAGCGTAAAGTGGAAACATCCACAGCTTCTAGGTGAACAGTAGCAGAGTTAGGAAAACAGTATGGACATTGCGCTGTAGGAACATCCAAGAGATCAACCTGCAATGCTCCATCTATCGCTAATATGATGATTTTGGGTGAACAGTTTTTTTTAGGTGTCATTTCTTTCAATTTGCTTTTATAAAATTCTTTATTTATAATTTTTCAAGTTGAATAAAGACAATGCGTATAAACAATACAGATAGGAATCGTACAAAACACATACATAGGGCATTTCGGCAGCATCTGCAAGAGGTAGACGGCTAGCATGAGAGTCCATATTTAGCTGTGATAATCCCACGATCTGACATCGTTAACTAGCAGGGTCTGTCCCTGCACACCACATGCAGCTCTGTGAGCACTAGGCCCTTAGTACTTCCCTATATGAGGTTAAGCATGAAAGAATGAGATTACATCAGTAGTTGGCTCAGACGATGGCCCTTATGTGCCCATAGGAATTTGCCGAACTCCCCTTTTACCTTCCTCAGAAAACAGGTTGGAATCCGCACCGGTAAGGTTTGGAGGAGGTAGAGCAATCTGGGTAGGACGTTCATTTTGAGGACACTGTCCGCCCAAACCACGTAAATGTGTTCTTCGTCCAAAGCTGTAAGTCCAGCTTCATTTTAGTAAGGAATGGTGGGAAGTTGGCAGAGAAAATCCCCCCCAGGGAGGGTTTCAGGTATATGCCCAGGTATTTAATACTATTGGCTGCCCATGTGAAGGGGAAGTAGGGAGATAACGAGTATATGATGGCCTTGGGGACGTTAAGGTTCAAGGCTTCCGACTTCTGCAGGTTAATCGCAAAGTTCGATAGGGATTTGTAATGGGCCAGTTCTGCTAAAAGGTTCGGTAAGGCGGTAGCTGGACTCGTCACGAAAAAGAGCAGATCATCTGCATAACCTGCCACTTTGTGGTTGGATCCCCCCACCGTCAGGCCGGGGAAGTTAGGGTCGTTACGGATGTAGCACAAAAAGGGCTCCAGGGTCAGTACGAATAGGAGGGGAGATAGAGGGCATCCTTGACGAGTGCCATTTAAGAGGGTAAAATCCCCCGAGGTCACCCCATTGAGTCATACAAATGCCGTTGGATGGGAATACAAGCCTGCTATCCATGTGGAGAACTCAGTCCCCACCCCCAGGTAGGTCAGTGTCGTCTGTAGAAAAACCCAATCCACCCTATCGAAAGCCTTCTCGGCGTCCGTCGATAGGAGGATGGTAGAGACGTCAATTGATCTAGCCAGGTGGATGGCGTTGAGGGCCCGTGTCGTGTTTTCCTTAGCTTTTGCTGGAGAGCCTCCCACCTTACTCATCTGTCATTCCCCCCCCAGCCCCCCACCCAAGGCACTCGTGAAAATCACCCAAAAAACAAAAAAGGGGAGAAACAGAGCAGTATCAGCAAGTCCGCAGTCCCCTGCAACCCACAGAACACCTAGCTTAGCATCCCGTAACCAGCGAACCCCCCATGTCGTCTATGATCTCCTCGGGACCCCGCACCCTCTGCGGGTCTCCGCACTCCTCAATGTTCCATTCAGTCCACTGCGACTTTCCAGCCGAAACTGCAGTCACCCCCCCAGCCAAGGTAGAGGCGGAAGGCCAGAGTCTTAGCCATCTTGTGGGAACAGGGTTAGGGGGGGTGGGGTACACACAACTTGCTGCGGGCCGGAGAGACACACGCGGGCGCCATCTTGGATCCGCCGGCTCTCGGTCTCGAATCCGGCTGGGTAAAAAAACGGCGAAAGTCTTGCTGTGACCCAGGTTTCGGGGTCCCCTTCCCTCTCCTTCTTTGATGACATTGTCCTGAAAAGGGCACTGTTCGTGCCCGCTAGACTGCAAAATCGGCCGCCGAGGCACGGAGCTCACACGCTGCACGTCCTCACAGTTCCATGTCTTGGCCACGCCCCTCAATTTGCTTTTAAAGGGTGCTTCCAAAAGTTCATCATGCTTTTAATTTACACCTTATTAAATGCCTGGCATCTGTGGACAAAAGCCTATACAAATGAGTAGTGTCATTAATATACACCAAGGTGTCCTAAGTGTTAAATTGTCCTCTTTGTGGTTTGCCAAAACTCTTAAATTAACTGTTTTTATTACCTAGATTAGTGAGATATGATATTGTGCTATATTTGACCACATAATGCATCAGTTACAACTTAATTAATCAAAGAGAATTTAAATTTAAATATGGAGTGTATTTGCCAATAATTAGGATAGCTTAAACATGTCCTGATCGATCTATCATCACTTCATATAACCAAGCTCTATGCAATATTTTTACATGCAATATTTTCAATATCATTTTTTCCCTATATATAATACTGTTAAATTGAAACACTATTATTGTTTAAAAAAAAAAAAAGTTGAATTTATTTCCTTCATTTTAATGTTTTTTTTGCCTTGAACACCACATAACCAGTATTGATTATTATCAGCATGGCTTTTTCGAAAAATAACCACAAGCTGTTTAAATGTAAGATTTGGCACAGATATTTGTCATCTTAAGATTTGGAGACTGAAATATAAGTCGGATTTATTTTTATACCACTGAACAATATTTTATTCTATAAAGATGGTCATTAAAAAACATAACCTTTTAATAACTTTGAAATTCAGAGGGGTCTAGTTAAAACTTGGTGTTCTCTGGTCTTTGGAAGGAGTTCATGCTCATAAACAAATTAAAGACATTCATCTCTTTATAATATACAAAGCATAAGAAATCAAAGTGCAAGCTTTTGGGATACTTTTAGCCAATATGTTTCATGTTGTAAAGCTTTACTGTATAACATTTTGTAGTTGCATTAGCAGAAGTGCCAGAGACTGATATGAAACTCTAAAACACATCAGCAAGTTTATACATAAAGGAAAGCATAAAAAAAAGATTTAAATTGGGGCTATGATTTTTAAGCCAGCATATAAATTGAATCTGCTTTTCAAAGACTTGCAGTCCCCAGAGGCAGTGTAGGGCTAATAGAGTTCACTTGTAAACTCTGTTTTACTTTTTTTGCATTATGAAATGTGATTGTCTTATTAAAAAAATCATGCACAATGGAAAAAAAGTAGTGAATTTACTAAGTGTCACCTGCTAACTTTTTACGAAGGAGGAAGTAGAGATCTGGATGGAGGGAGGCCGGTGGATGTGGTATACTTGGACTTTGCTAAAGCATTTGACACGGTGCCACATAAAGGTTTACAACACAAGCTGAGGTCTATGGGCATAGACGAATTAATGTGTACATGGATAGAAAACTGGCTACAGGAACGGGTGCAAAGAGTATCAATAAATGGCACCTTCTTGGATTGGGCTAGGGTCATGAGCGGAGTGTCTCATGGGTCTGTGCTGGGCCCCATGCTGTTTAACCTATTCATTAACGATATTGGGGAGGGGGTTAACAGCCATGTTTCAGTGTTTGCTGATGATACCAAAATCGGGAGGGGAATAGACACAATCAGACACTACAAGACTTCAGGAGGATCTGGATAAAATAGGGGTGTGGGCAACTACATGGCAGATGAGGTTGAATGTAGATAAATGTAGAGTTGTGCACTTTGGGGTTAAAAATAAGAAAGCGGATTATACACTAATGGGAGATCCGCTGGGGTAAGTCCGAAAAGGGAAACGGATTTGGGGGTCATTGTAGACCACGGGCTGAATAACAACACGCAGTCAGGCTGCGGTAACAAAGCAAGTAGAGTCCTTACCTGTATTAAGAGGGGAATGTTTTGCAGAGACAAGTCCATAATTGTGCCACTTTATACATCACTGGTTCGGCCTCATCTAGAGAACGAGGTCCAGTTTTGGGCACCAGCGAACAGAAAGGATGTCCTGGAACTGGAAAGAGTCCAGAGAAGGGCAACCAAACTCATAAAGGGGATGGAGGACCTGAGCTATGAGAACAGGCTACTAAATTTAAACATGTTCTCATTGGAAGTAAGGAGATTAAGGGGGGACATGATTTTCACGTATAAAATGTTTACCGGGGATAGCAACATTAGCGGCAAACTTTTTACAATTAACTCCATGACAAGCATGAGAGGCCACCACTTAAAATTGGTGGAGAAAAAATTTCAGCACAAGGGGCGAAGGGGTTTCTTTTCAGTTAGATCAGTCAGGGTCTGGAAATCGCTGCCACATGCTGTGATTTCAGCTGAGAGTGTGTAATCATTCAGGAGGTGATTGGATGATTTCCTCAGGGACCTTAATATACAGGGGTACAAGTACTCTTAAGATTGAGAACACACAGAGACCTATACATACTACACATCAATAGGACCATACACATAAACAAAATAGGTTGGACTTGATGGACATATGTCTTTATTCAACCTCAAATACTATGTAACTATGTAACAATGTCACTTAGGCAAGCCTTATGTTTGCCATACTTAAACACAAGCCTTAGAATCAATGGTCACTGGTAGATACTGAGTCTAGTTTAGACAATGTTTGCAATGTTATTTGTGTGTACAGTGTGTGTATTTGTGTATCTATGTGAATGCACTTTGCTCAGGGTGAATATTGCTATAGAAGATGGAAATGTTTATTAGTAATTTATGTGCTTTTGTGCTTTCAGGAATGTACTGTATATGAAACCGAAAACAACATTCTACATGTGGTGAGTCTGCCTAATAGTGTATGTTCTTCATTCAGTCTTTAATCCCTACTTGCAAAATTGTGTCTGTTCTGAGCTGAGGGGCATCATGATTCAGAATTCAGTAGTTCCACAGCAAATTTGTAAATCTATAAAGAACCCTTGCTTTTAGTTTATCCTGCCCTTAGAAACAATGCTGTTTGCAGTTGACATTCTGATGCTGGGTTGGCTACACAGTCTACACCCCAGCCATCAGAGAAATTGGACACATACAATTGCACATTGGGGGAATAGGCAACATTCTGACATTCACCAGCTGCACAAATACTTGAAAAGGGTGCAATTGTAAAAATTAAATAATAATTGGGAGAGTACAAAGCATTAACATTTTAAAATATGATATTCCCTTGCGATGACTTAAACAAGAAATTCCCTTTAGTCATATTTAAAACAACCCTGTCATGAGAGAAATAGTATGGCTTTCATTGCTGAGACCCCTCAACAAATGCTACTTGCCCAGCTGTTACGCCAATCCTCTGGCTTCCCTACATTCTGAGGCACTGATTTTGGTACATCCCATGCAAGAGAATCAGCATGACAACCAGGCAACCAGCAATTTTGATACAAAAACACAACAATGGCAGCATCCATGTTTCTATAGGGCAGGGCTCAAAATTTCCACTCGCCCCCTCGCAATTGGCGAGTGAAAATTGCATGGGGGCGAGTGGAAATTTATCGGGGGTGGGGGCGCCACTGGCAGGACGAGGGGGGAAACTGCCACAGCTTCAGCAGCGGTGATCACCTCTTCAGTTCTCCCCCCCCCCCCCTTCTCTTCTCTAGTTCAGGGGTGTGGAATTCGTATCCCCCGACACCCGGTACATGCAGTTCCGGGCGCCGGGCAGGTAGTTTTTTCTACATTTAGCCCTGCTACGCGTAGCAGGGCTAAATGTAGAGTGGGGAGCCACCGCTCGTTTTGTATCAGTCATTCCTGGCTCACATACATGTGTCACATACATGTGTGCTTTAGGCCTCATTCACGCAGTGTTAATTCGGGCCATACACATCCATGTGGCATGCAAGGCCGTATAGGGTCGTCCCCTGGAGGGACAGGTGCTGCATGTGATTGCACACAGCAGCCTGTTCTTCCCTATGGGAGGATGCGGCTGTACGCTGTCATACTCTCGCCCAAACCGCATATCCGCCCGGGTGCGGTTGTCTCTGCTCGGACGCAGCCAGGATCCATCCTGTCTGCGTCCCGAGTAAAAACACCCGGACCCGCAGCTCGGGTGTGTGTACGGCCACATCCTCCCATAGGGAAGAACAGGCTGCTGCGTAAAATCAAACACGGCACCTGTCCCTCCCAGGAACGGCCCGATATGGCTATGCACGCCACACGGATGTGTACGGCCTGACTTAACGCTGTGTGAACGAGGCCTTATTGTGTGGGAAGGGGGAAATCCTTTTGTATATATACACACCCATTTGTTTCTACTAATCTAAGGTCAGAGAAAGTATTTAAAGAGAACTATGGAGTCTCCTTTTTATCCCATAATTCTCTTTAAATACTATCGTCCTCCCATGACCCAAAGCTCCATATATAGCTTGCTATTGCTTGCTATATACTGAGTGCCGCAGCCGTGACGGATCCTGAAAATCCACTATAGAACTGTCATTTAATTGACCTAACTGTGCTGACCAATGAGAAGCGCTTCTTAGCACTGTTTGAAATACGGTTTGGCTTCAAATTCTTTTTTCTGTATCGGTACAAGTAGATTGTCATGGGGGACAAGTAGATTGTGCCCCCGCACATTTCCACACCCCTGCCAGGAGAAGAGTAGGGAGAATCAGTTCAGCTGTCGGTCCGTCACCTGCAGTCTTCCTCCGCGCAAGTTAGCTGCCATAGGCTGGGAGGAGGACTGCAGAGGTACAATTGAGGACACATCCCTGTCCCCCCCCCCCCACCAGGAGAAGAAGAGGACACCTGAATTAGGTCAGCCATGTGCACTGTAAGTCCCTGTTATTTCTGCCTTAAACCGCTGACTCTCTGCACTGATCTCTGTACTCTGCGTCACACTGCTGGCCTCTGTATTCGGCATTACACCACTGATCTCTGTACTCTGCGTCACACTACTGACCTGGCAGAGTTAAGTCCAGGACAGGGTAGGGTTTAGGTGGGGCAACTGGTGGCGAGTAACTTTTAAGGCCTGGCTAGTAGCTCAGGACTTGAAATTTTTAGCCCTGCTATATGGAATGTGTTAAAGGCGTTTTTATTGCTTCCAGTGAGTTTTGCATACCCTAACAAGTCCATGAAATGCAAAACCTGCTTAAAAAAGGTCAAATGCAAGTCAGAAGAAGGTTAGCTGCTGGTCAAATCCACCTGTCAATAAATTCTGAATGATCTCAGAAGTGTCTTAAACTGATGCCATCGACACAAGCCCAAAGGCTTTTAACACAGGCCCTTAATGAGACGTTTCAGAGATTTTCCCTGTTTTTTTCTTCTGTATTTTGTATTAGTTCTTACTGCTGCACTTTCTTTGCCCTTTTTTCCCCTAATGTTACTGTAATAATAATGATTCAGCTAGTGCTAAATATCAATTTTAGGTTTAAATTGCTTCCTGATTAAGCTCCAGGAACTTTCATTTAAGTAGATTTCAGGATTACAGCGAGCTAGAGATAAAATGGATCCTTATTAATAGTTCATTATATCCAATTATCTCAGAGCATGATAGGTAACATCCACTAGCTAAGGCTTTAATCAGCTTTTTATCTTGATTACACTGAACATTTTTCTATCCCGCCTCATTATACTTCATCTACAATAGGAATTCTGTCCTTCCTACTAGAAAGAAGAAAGTATTTTGTATTTAACTCTTTATGCTGATTTAATTATTCTCCTCCCCCTTAGTGCAAAACCTTGTCTGGTGTTTGTGACCACATCATCTCTCTGTCTTCTGATCCCCTGGTTTCTCAGTCTGCCCATCTGGAAGTTGTACAGCTATCCAACATAAAGCCAAGCGAAGGACTGGTAAGTAAGGCAGTTACTGAGAGCGAAATAATCAGCCATGAAATGATGTAGTATTCTATAGCTGATAATAAGCTTGTAAGTGTAACTTACAGATGAGCAGAGATAAGCACTTGCCTGTGCAGTGTTTTTTCTTCCCATCGCAGCTGAATGCGAGCAGTAGCAACAAGGGACTTTGAGCCATTTTGAAGTTTTCAGAATTAAAGAAAAGATCACGGCTTATGCCAGTTATAGCTTGATATTGAATGACGTCCTACAAACTATTGTTTTTCCTGATAATTGCTGGCACTAATTTGAATTATTACAGACCAATTTGATGAATACCTGTGAGCCCCATATATGGTCATTAGTGACTACAGTCAGATTGCATGACTCATTAATAGCTAAGCTGATGGTGCTTGCCAAATTTTTTGTTTTCTTTCTGCTTCTGGGTAAGCACTAATTGCAACTTTTGGCATTCCATCCTTGCATCGACAAAGTGAACCTGGAGATGATAAAGAAGACTGTAGGAAACGGAAATGTCCCAGTTGGGAAAGCTAGACATGAGATGTAGAGAAACTAACTCCTAGGATATCCAGAGCCAAAAACATGCGTGCAATCCAGGCAGCAGTCGAAACTAAAGGAACAAGGGTTGCTGGGTCAGGGTTTTTTCTGATGAAAAAAGTAGGGTAATCTAGAGATGTTGAATAGTTCTTGTATTAAAAAGTATATATGTATCACAACATTGAATCAACTTGCCAAACTGAATTGTCCTTTTAAACAACCAAGCCACTAATCAAAGCTATACAATTTCTGTCCAGGCATTGGCAGAACAGAGCAAACCAAGGTAAGGTATAAAGATATTTCTTTTGTGCCAGACCAACTACTGTTGTGGAGCAGGGTTGTCATTAGTGCACAGCACGTATAAAGGAATAAAAATACCTTTAAAACCTCAGTGCATGGGTGCTCTCCGAACCAGCTATATGATCTAATGGGACAATGAACTCCCTAATGTGTAACCAGATTTTCCATTCTGCTACTGGATATGTATATGAATATGAGGAATGCCAGGCAGTATAACTTTAGGGTACTTCCTGGGCATTGGATTGATCCCCTGGACACATATATTTTCCCATCTCCGATACATGAATGATCTGAAAGAGATAGCAAAAGATCATATTGAAACTAAACCCTAAACCTCCTACCTATTGATCAGGCTTTGTTCTGAGAAGGTGCCAACCCATTGCATTGCTAACTTACACAAGCTGTGGAAGGATGGAACTGGTCTCCCTAGGTAGTTGAGCAGAAACATTCTGCATAAAGGTTTAACTTCCCCCTGAAAATGACCATGAACAGCATCTATTTGTAAGCAAAACTGAACATTAAATTGACACATAAATTAATGGTGGGAAGATGAAGGCACGTTGGCGAAGGCTAATATACCAGCCATTTTAAGCCCAGTGCAGAGAACCTTAAGCAGACCTCCGAAAGCTTTGCTGCAGATGTTTGAGCTGCGATAATTTAAAAGCGAATTAAAACTTCTTATGGGGTTGGCATGGCGTCAAAGACCAATCTACCCTTGAACCTTGTTCCAAAATAGGTTTTGTATATTAATGTTTTTCTTCTATAAATAGTTAAACTGAAATATAGAATACCATATTCATGTGAGGTAGGTAACCTCCAGGGTCTAGTTCAGTATTTTTGAGGGGCATTCTAGTTGAGTTAAAGCTCAAGTTATTAGTGTTGCTCGAGCCTGTTCTGTTAATTTTTGATAATAAATCAATGTGTCTACCACTATATACAATACTTTTTTCTCATTCCACACACTCTGTAATGTAAATTAAAATGTGGGAGTTCTGCAATAATGAAAATGCCTCCTAATGGTCATGGCACCCTGTGGTAGATAGCAACTTTAAAATCCCTCTGCAGAGATCACACTGTTGATGTCCTGAGAGACATATAGTCCTGGTTTAATATGACTAATTGGGGCATTCGATAAATGGGACTTAGTCTTCACCATTCACTAAGGCACTGCTTCACTTCCTGACCAGCAAGGATTGCTATCATAAGAACTGGGCCAATCCACAGGAAGAAAAGTCTACATGAAGTCTTCATAAAAGCCAAAACAAATCTGAGGTTTTTGTTCAGCTCTGCTATGCACACATTTTTCTTTTGGCAAAAAGTTTTCTTTAGCTCTTGGCGCTAATGGCTGCCAGCTGAACAATCCACTTGCTGTTGCACACTCAAAGTTTTCAACAGTTTATCAGTTTTTTTACACAGACTTGAGGGGCTGCTCATCAAAGGCTCTGGGGCTTTCACCACGAACATAGAAAACAAAAGGGAACAGAGTGCCACCATGTGTAAAATCGTTTATTACAATAAATAAAACAAGGGATAAAAGTACTCCCAAACAAACGTTTTCATCAGACTTTAACAACAAACGAGAGGCCACACTGTCAACCCAACATGGTATCCGCCCGACTATGTAACACGGTAGTCTCCGGTCACATCACCGTCCACCGACCGCAGTCAGCCAAGATTGACGCATTTCAGGGGCAAGCGCCCTTCCTCAATCATCTTTTGTGAGTACTTTTATCCCTTGTTTTATTGTAATAAACAATTTTACACACGGAGGTGGTGCTCTGTTCCCTTTTGTTTTCTACATTCTTCTTTTGTCCAATGGATATGATGAATTCTGTAATTTTCTGTGATCAACATTTTAGTAACCATCTCTGTATCCCAGTGACTGTACTATATTCCAAGTATAGGGGAACAAGGAGCGGCTTAGTAGACAGAGCCATAATTGTCATAATTGCATGTATTACTGGTGCTTTTTTGGAAATATTTTCAACCAGTTGAACTGGTTGAAAACTGGAACTAATTCTGCTGTAATGTTTGAGGCATGTGGTTTGAGAGCTTGGAGTATTATTTCATGCATAATAAAGGGATTTGCCACTTTGATTTGGTATAAAATCCTCTAGAAGGTTCTCAGCAACCTTTTGATAACTGCCTGGGAATTATCATTTATGAGCTGATATAACCTATTTTACCTGCGGTGTAATATAAAAGCATGAAAGCAGTGATAGCAGTATGAGGTGCCATTTTGACCCCTCTTAATGTGGTATCTCTTTCACAGATGCAGTACATTAGTGGCATAGGGATAAGCTGTGTCTTCAGTATACCAAGATTACTTAGAGCATGATAATAATTCCCCTTTGAACAGCCAGCAGTATCCTTATGTTATTATGTTCTGCGCCATTTCATTTTATTCTGTATGACAAAATCCCAATGTGAATGCAATCCTGATGTGCTGTGTTTCTAATGCTTAGAGTCTAATTGACTGATAAGTCATTACTCATCTGACTCAGAATAGAGCACACAATAACACAAATGCATTAAGGTGAATGTTACATGGCTTATAAAGGAAAAAGGAGAACTATTCAGAGGTGGATGGTAGACATGGTATAAATGTTTTAGCTACACCGTTTAGACTGTTCATTTTTAGTGGTTTGCAAATGTGTCTTATATATAATAGTCCTCCAATATCCTGTTTCTTAAAAACTGCTGTAAATTGCTGCATAGTAAACACAGGAAGGAACTTAGATGTGTAATCCCTCTCATATTACTGGTGAAATGTTATTTCAGCTTCAAGTACAATGCAGACACTTTAGGCATACTTAGTTTTATATATAGGTCTTTCAGACAACTCATTAGATGCTATGATGGTAGTTTCACTCTTGCTACACTTACTGTAGATACATTTGTTAATTACATTAAAGCCCAATTGAAGTATCACACTGGTTGATCGCTTCATAATTTTATTCTCTTACATGTTATAATTGTGTGACTCCTTTTTCCTTGGAATTCCCTAAAGCAACTTAGTTGCTTTTTAAAAAAAGAAAAAGTAAAAAATCCTCCCCTCAAAAAAAAATTATGACTACGCACCCGTCTCTCCAAACTCCACTATCTTGAAAAGTGAAGTGTGCTGAATAATCTTCAGCATCTAAGTGTATCGGGTGCCTGGTTCCCCCCGATTCCTTCTGTAGTATCTTCCACCAGTCCCTTGCATCACTACTGTGTCCTGTGGTGACATAGTGGCCAGCAGGAGGAACCACTAACTACAGCAGGGGAAAAGGATATCCAATACTCTCAGAAGTGAGGGATGCAGAAGGTTTTTGCCACTTTTATCTCTTAAAGACAATAGAGTTTAGGGGTGCTGACAACAAGAGGGGTAAGTATTAATTATTATTTTTTAAATAAAGAAATTTTCACTTTAAAATACCTTTTTTTTTTTTTGTTTGTTTTGTTGCTGAGATGCTTGCTAAAAGCACTGGTGACTATTGACTACACTGTGCTACTTAGACATCCTGCACAACAGGGAAATACTATGGAAATGAAGGTTGTTAGAACAATGTCTATGAAACATACTTACTACATATCTATTGGTTTTTTTTTTACTTCAGTTCATGTTTAATTATCCAATGTTGTGCAATGCTGGGTTCTACTACCTTATATCTAATAGGAGTGGTCCTTCTTTTGTGTGTTAAGCACGAAAAACATTTAAAAAAAAAAAAACCTGACAAGATCACTTAGTCTAAACATCACTAGTCAAAACTTTTTTAAAAATGTCTCGTAAGAAGGTAAATGCTGTTCAGAAGAATATCAGATTTTGTTACCATTGCATATATGCAGGAGAAAAAAAGGATGCACGCTTAAAGCCCAAATCCCTTTTTTTTTTTTTTGCTAGTTTTGGATAGAGTTCAAAGGGATTAGACTATTTTTCAGGTTTTTGTTGCTCCCTGTGTCCCTGTTAAAGAGATTCACCCTCCCTACTTGACTTGGTGACTGTTATTGCTAAAAGTGAAAGAAAATTAAAAGAAAATTTAAAAATCTTGGGTTGTCATCAGAACAGGAATAATTGGGAACTCATTCATTAAGGCCACTAGATTTTGTGATTCTGCTGGCCACCACAGATTTCCCTCTTTTGAAGGGTTTCCTTTCACTGCTGTGGCTATCAGACAGGAAGTGAAGTGATTCCACTCTCCCCAATTAGACACAGATGACAAAAATAAATCTGGCAGGGGTTGTAACCCTCCCTTACTGTATCCCCCAAAAAAGTTTGGCTTTAGTTCTACTTTAAGCTGTTGGGAGATTGAGCAATTTTAAAATACCATAACGAGACCACATAAATTCCTGTCTATTTCTAGTTCCAAGCACAGCTGTCTGTTATGCTCATTAAGATGTGATAATTCCATGGGGAAAGATCTGGGTGTAATCCTAATATCATAAAGGCCAACAATTTATCATAATGATGGTAAAGCACAACACTCTAGTATGACAGTGATAATGAAGCATTAAATCCCATAGACAAGTGATGATTGTAATATTGGTAGGAAATGTGTATTGATCATAGTTTTTTTTTTTTTTTTTAATGCGTTTGCTTTTTTGTCACTATAATGTGAGACTGTCATGCCTTTATATCTGATTGAATTATTTTTGCTGCCTTGTAGAGTTGTGTTTTCAGGGAGCTCTCAATCGATCATTTATACTACTTAATCCTTGCATCTGTGTTTATTACATGCCTAAACTACTTTACATGGTTGCTGCTTTTTCATAATCTAATATCTGTTTCATTGCAGGGAATGTATATTAAATCTACATATGATGGACTTCATGTGATAACTGGAACAACTGAAAATGTAAGTTTAACATCTCCAATTACAAGCTCCTTTTTTTTAGAGCAGTGACTAAATACTCATAATCATCACACAAAGTCCCCAGACTAAAGGCTTTTTATAGATCTTATCCGGTAAGACACTACTTCGCAACAATTGCAGCTTGATCAGTGTTTTCCATAGGTAAAAGTTTTACTTAAACAAGCATATGTCATGGATTTTCCAATTTGACCTGTCTGGTTCAGTTACAAATGCATTATAATTGGTTATTATGCAGTATTGCACATTGCTTTATGCCTTATTGACTACTGACTAAGGCTGGGTTCACACCTGGGCGTTTTGAAGCGCTGAAAAACGCTCAAGACGTGAAATCCTATTAATTTCTATGGGCCATGGTTCCCACTTGGGCATATTTCAGCGCGTTTTGTAACGCTGAAAAACGCCCTACGCACAAAAAAGTACTTCAGCTTCTTTTTCACGCGATGGGGCAGATTTCAGCGTGTATCCGTTGATTTACCTCCCTGGTGGTATTCCCGAGTTTGGCTCGGGGTTAATTTTCTGTTCCATGTAACCCCGAGCCACACTCAGGAATACAGCGCAGCGTCTCTTACCTTGTCCGCGATCCCCGCTGTGTCCTCCGGCCGCTGCCGGCATCCATCTTTCGGACTCCGTCCCTTGCGAGCGTCCGCGTCGCAGGGGGGCGGAACCATCGGGAAGTTTAAAAAAAAGTTGAAAGAAAAACGGAGCAAAAAGGGGAAAAAAAATAAAATAATCATACCGCCAGGGAGGTTAAAAATTGCGTGTTTAACGTGCGTTTCATTGGACAGAAAAACACGCTACAAACGCAGGGGCAAAAAACACGCATATAACAAACACCCAAGTGTGAACCCAGCCTAAGTCTGCATGCTTAATAAAAAAACTTGCACTGCAATAGTTAGTGCTCAATAAGAGTTATACTCAACTGAATCGTGATGCCTGCTGGCTGTTACACCAAACCATTCTGCCTTGCTCCCCCTCTGTTTCAGCTGGCTAAGGTCCTGTGAGTCATCATGTTCTTTGCACTGTGTGAGGATGGTGAAGCACATCATACCATCGCTGGAGTGGAGGAGGAGACAGGCCGAAAGGACTAGCACTCTATCACATAATTAAGACTCAGTCCATCGAAAACTGATATTTTATTTAAAGGTGGGCGCCAGTGGTTTTAGGCACTTCCAATTGCTTTTTGTAACTCTAGGGCAGGGGTTGCAATCTCTGGCCTTCCAGCTGTGGTGCAAGTACAAATCCCTTTAGGCATTCAAAGACTCTGACCGGCATGACTCTCAGAAGCAGCTGCATGATGAGCTTTTTAGTTTGACCACAATTGGAGGGCAGGAGTTTGCCTACCCCTGCTCTAAGGAATTGTGGTGATAAGTTTTGCAACTCTGCAGTCTGAACTGTTGTCTCACTGTTTTTGCTGCGATTTACTGTAATGTCCAGTAAATTAAGCATATAGCAAGTAGACTCCCTCATCGGTGCTGACAACTTTGCCCAATCTTCTCCTGGACTTGATGTCTTCGGCCAACCTAATTCGTTGGCCCGGGTGGATGTAACTGCCATGCATGCGCATAAGAGTAAATTCATCCCAGCACCAAGGCATTCCAAGATTTTACCCTGGGCTGTGAATATTAAATTCAGTGTACATTGCTAGCAAGCAGCTAATAAGTATTTATTACAGGAGAGACAAACATAGTATTTTCTTCAATAAAAGTCTGTCTGCTAGCAAATGTCCTATTTAACACATAAGTTCCACTTTAAAGCATATTGTGGTTTTCATAATTACTGATTTTCTCAACATGTCGGTATGTTTCTTTCACTTGGAGAGCTTACAAGTTTTAATGGACCTAGGGCAAGGCTATGGACATTCAAGTATTTACATAATCTTAGCAAACATAAATGAACTTTAAAACAAACTCTCACTAACCTTTGTAGCTGTAAGAACTGTGGAGCCAATTCATCCTGCTCATTCTACCTACTAAATGGGAATTAATACTCGAATGTCTATAACTTGGCCACAGGTTCACTTTTAGGACCAGGTCAGTCAGAAAATTTAATATTAAATTGTAAATTGAAAATCATGGCCTACAATTCACCTATTTCATTTTTTTTGTAATAGTTCCTGCTCACCACCCACATTTAATATATAATTTTCATTCAAATGGCATGGAAGAAAACACCATCCATTTACCTCCCAATTGTTCCTAGGCTAGTGGGAATGGCTACCTTACTCAGTTCGTACAGTAGTTCCACTCTAAAGTAGTGTGAAATTATCAATGCAACATTTACTTTTTGTGAATATTAAATCAACGAAAGCAGCAGGGCAATGACATCTAATAAACCATTGTTTTTATAGAATTGTTGGTAAAATTTAATGTAGAAGTAAATGTTTCCATGGTGTGATTTTTTATTTTTTTTTGTCTGAGGGTGATTATTTTCCTACTACTAAGCTATGAGTTATCCCTTAGCGCATGCATATTGAACACAAGTGAAGCATTATCAAATGTAGGAAAGCCATTGGAGAAGAATATGATTTACCTCTTTTTTGCTCTCACTGGTTCCTCCCTCTGACCTTGCATCACTACTGTATCCTACATTGAGGTAGGGTCAGAGGAAGGAACCAGTGAGGCCTGGTTCACACCTGTACATTTTGTAGCGCGTTCAACGCTCTACGAACGCTCTACAAAACGCTCAAACATGAAAATCCCATTGTTTTCTATGGGTATGGTTCATACCTTGCCGTATTTCAGCCCGTCTGAACGCGCTACAAAACTGCCTACGCCTGAAAAGGTACATGAGCTTCTTGGCGGCGTTTTTGTCGCGCGTTTCCATTGGGATACAGCCAAGTAGCCCTCGGAAACGCGCGTTTGTCGCGTGTCTTTTTTTACAGCGAATCGCGGTAAAAACCGCGCGTCACGAAACGCGCGACAAACGTGCATATTCGATACGCCTAGGTGTGAACAGAGCCTGAGAGCTGCATGGAACCAAGGAGACCAGCATAAAACAAAGGAGTAGTCTTGAGTGGTATTGGCTTTCCTGAAATACTTTTATTATGTGACAGTTGCTCATTTAGTGTACAAGTTTTTGCTCCTTTACATTTCAGTTTATAACACCTAAACTTTAATATAGGCAGAAATAGACATTCAATTTGCTATAAAAGTATAGATACTGTGCTAAAATGGCAGGCAAGGTGGTAAAAGGGTGATATTTCTCTCCCAGAATATGAATTGGGGTGACAATTGGCTCCAGGGAAGCCTGTTGAGGAAAATGGGTCAGTCTACCTTTTAAAAGGCTGATTGGAAAATTGGTCTGTTGGACCTGAAGTTCAGGCTGCCAAAGAGATTGGGTGGATCTGCAGCCCGGTCGCCCCAGTCCACAATACCTGCCAGTATACTTGGCTTATTATGAAAGGGCTGGAAATCCTCACAGGTGGAGGGTGTGCTATAGTTTTTGAAAATTTGTGGATGGTGACCTGACAGCCTATTGTTTTGTACAAGAGCTCTTGGAGTATTCACCTATTAGACTGTGAGTTGTTTAGGCTGAACAAAAGTCTATCATATGGACTGATGTATTTGCTATATTGAGGAATACTTTTTGTTTTATTGCTAACGTATAGCACTTCTCTGTAAATTTTTGTACATAAAGATAAATGTGGGACCAACAATTCAACAGAAAACCTGTTGTATGGTGCATTCCTGCCATAGAATTACCATCTAAGCATATGCCCTGTCACAATACACGTGTTCTCTTATATAAAAAAAGGCAGCCTTGATTGACCACCTGACCTTTTTCTGCTGTCAGTCTTGTTTAAAGCAGAACATTTGATCACAACTCAATAGACAGTGTGAGGCAGGCACATTATTTACATCCTCTAGTACTCCTTAGAAGTTTAGCAGGGGAGGATAGCATTTTTCAAAGCCATCACTATAAAATGTCAATATGTTTGCTTAAGTAAGAAATGTTACCTCTGATTCACAACAGCTTCTATGTTCACTTATCAGTCACCTGCTGACAGATGCAAGAAGATCCATGCTGGTGATGAAGTGATTCAAGTCAACCATCAAACAGTGGTATGTATACTGCCTTTCAGTCATATGGTTAACTGAGCATAATCTGTTGGCAATACTACACTATGCAGTTTTCCTGCACATGGTTTAGCTTTGTGTTCATCATTATTGTTAGGAAGGTTCATAGCTTTGAGGTTTCTACTGTGGTTATAGTAACCCAGTTATGTATGTTTTTGCATAAATCTAAACTCCAGGGGGAAAAAAATGTTTTTTTTTAAATTGGTCCAGCTAAGTTACCTGCAATGCTGCATGCTCTGCATCCTGAGGACTGCTAGGGATGCTAAAAATTATTGTTTTCATGACCTATTCACTGTTGGCTTTAATCTCTGCTGCTTTAACTGTCCTGTCTGGTGCAATGCAGGAATAGCATCGTTTACACTCCCTCTTCCTCCCCCTCACCCAGTCATAAAAGGTTTTGTTTTCTATTCACAGAATAAAATAAATTCTGTGATTGGACATGGGGTGGTCCTGTCATCCATCCACCCCTTCTCTCCCTTTGCCCAGAAGATCAAAGCTGACAGTAAATCTGTCATTAAGACAACTAAGATTTTAGCATCCTATCAGCCCTCCGAATGTACTATATGCAGCATTCGAGGTAACATGGCTGGACCAAAGTAAACTTTTTTTGTTTGTTATGGAGTTCAGCCTTAAATAGTAAATATTAAACACCCAATGCCAATTTAGTTGCAGATGTTCTATTTACGCATAATGCTATTATTACAATTACAATTCAACATGCATATAACAATATTCCAGTCCTAGTTTTCTATGCAAGTTTAGATCATAGCATGTTATTTTTCCTAGAAATGAATATATAGTAATATATCTATCTTTTTGTTATTTTGCATATATTTGTTGTGACCTCATTGTACTTCTTGGATTTAATCCCCTCCTCAGGATTTCTGCTATATTTCTTTTTAAATTAACGTCTCTTGACTTGGTTCTGAAACTAATGACAGATAAGTGTTTTGAATTGCTCTGATATGCTTGTTTATTGTCCAAAGGAACCAGTAAGAAATAGTAATTTGCTTCATGTTATATTATGGGCATGCTACCAGTTATCCTAGCATAAAAAAGACTGGAATTTGTTTTGTTTTCTTAATTTGAAGCTTCATGTCTAATGTCAACTAAAACATCTGGTTTTGAAATATGCATTATTTACCTCATTCTGTAATCAGTAGTAGAAAAGCACTGGGGAAAGCAGAAAAGCTATGATTAAAGTTCTCATGAAAGAGTGCAAGGACATGTAGCAGTCAACTTCTCGGGTTAAGTACATTGTTACTACCTGGTTGGTCAATGTCCATATGTAAAATTAATTTTTGGTGTTTTTCCAGAGTGTTATCTGGAATGTTCTGGTATAGAACAATGCTATGCACAAAAAAAATAAGTTAAAGCAACTGGACTTGCTGTATTTTTCTTGAAGATGTTTCACTGGTCAGGCAGCTTTCTCAATTCAGAATGACTTGTACAAACATTCTCTGGAAATATATATGGTGAAAGTTGCTCCAATCCACAATCTGTTAATCGCAAGCAGGTGTTGGTTGCATTTGCATAATTGGAGCTAGGAGGTGTTATTAACCTGACCTGAGAGAGGTGTTAAAACAGCATCTTGGCAGACAGTAGATGTCCCCCCCCCCCCTCTATCCCTCCCTTCCTCTATTCAAGCTTGGTTTCTCCATTTTTACAAAAATGGCCTCTTTCACACCTCTTTTAAACCAGTCCTCCTCCCTGTCTAGGATGGGTGTGACCAGAATATGAGCTGATTCTTTGCCATGATCTCTGCTTCAATCAGAGTTACTCTGATTCCAGTAATATTGCTGACAAGCTGGTACAGTTAAATAAGTGGTGGTTCAAAGATAGTGCCACCCCTGACTGGCAAAAGTGCAAAGGTAAGTGGGATATGGAGGGGGGCGGAGATAAGAGCCTAGCACCCAGCAATTTTGTCAAAGCTGTAAAGGAAGATCAGCACATAGTTTTTGAAGTTCTACTCTATATCAGAGACAAATGTGTACAGCAGGAAAGAAGATTATATTTTCAGATTGCTCCAAAAGAATGTTAGCGAAAGACAAAGGTTTGAAGGATTCAGAAATACAGGGTACCATAAAACTAACACAAGGTGTTGGACCTAAGCAGAGTTGTTTGTATGCTTAAATATCTCCAAACTGAAGAAACAAATGAATTATGCGCTCGGCTTATGAAACCTTAGTCACAGTTTATTGGAGTTTACTATTTAAGTAAAAATGCACATCAATTGCTTACAGGATGAATGATAAATCATGCAAAAGATCGGAAACAATGTATCCCAATGAAATCTTTCAAGTTGAACCTTTTTAGAATGACATTTGGGCTCTGATGGACGATGGAAAGAAAACACACAATGTTTGTTGGTGTGGAAGAAGCAAACTGAATTCTAAACTGGTATCTGCTCTCGAGGATACCTCCTAGACCCTAATTGCCTACAAAGACTGTGGTGTTACTTGCTAGGAAGCCCAGAAAGCTGAGGACTTAAACTTTAATGGGAATAAAATATATATGTGGATTATCCTCTCAAATTTTAAAAGCAAAGAGTTACATTAAATATAGTCAAGCTGAGAAAGAATAAATTGACCTACAGTTTGATCTACCCTGGAAAACGCTGGGTAGAGGATGGAGACGTAACATTATTTTCACAACCCTGGCAGAGGTGGCTTGAGCAATGCAGATTTACAATTCATAGATTTTCTAAACGGCAAGCATATGCTTGAATTTAAAACCTCCATGATACTTGAAAGATGGGAAATCTTTCAAAATAATCCTTTACGAACCTGAACTGCATGTTTTAGTACATTTTTTTCTGTTTCACTGACAGTTGAAGAGGCATTGGAACTAGTTAGACCTATATACACCTAGTCTGTTTTATTGGGCACTCCATTAGTTTGAAGTGATGAAAAATGAGTTAGGTTGGGCATGGTAGAAAATAGTTTTTTGTTTTTTTTGTTGATCTTTCTAAATGTGTGTAATTATTTGCTCGTTTTGTAAGCCTTTCTTACCATCTTATGTATTTTTTAATGTTTTATTTTTTTAATCATTTTATACAGAGAGCTATTAAACCCCTATTATAAACCTAAAACTGAATGAACAAATGTTTATTTTATTACAAAGTACTCAAAGGTCATGACCTACCACGGTTTGGGCTTTTCACATTTCTTATTACACTTAATTTAGAGTATTTTTTAATTATGTGCTACAAAAAATAGATCTAGATGGGTAAAACTAAATCCTGTGAAACACATGTATATTTATAATGTTTGGGTTATGACAGCATTTTGAGTTTCTTATGTATGCACACTCCATCTGGAGTCTCAGATTTATATAGGGAATTCTATTTTTTTTAAAAGAACTTCAGCTAAAGGTCATATTGTTATATATGTTAATTAGTACAGTTGGAGATCCTGCATTAGTTTTAAAACTCCTGTGGGATTTTAGGATTTGTTAATTTGTTTTAGCATGTTCAATTGAGGACATGTTTTTAAACCCATGTTAGTGGTGCATGCATCCATGCCCACTTTAAAAAACGACAGGAAAAAGTTAAAAGGAATGCTTCATGAAGAATGTATGGGAGCTGCCATTGCTGACTTGTTTTTCAAAGATTATATTGTAGGGGTGACCTCCATATCCTAAGTCACTAATCTGGAACAAGCATGTGTATATCAGATAAAAAACAAAGTGCTGAAAATGGTATAAGAGGCAGCTATCAAAATACACTTTATTGTAACTCAATGTACACTAAACTTTATGTAAAATTCTACCTACAAATATCAAAATTGTATGTTGCTCATGGACATTGTTTTAAATTTATATACTTCAGTTTGTAATTTTAAAATCTTAGTAGCTCCTTCGTTATGTGTGAAGGAGCAAGGTTGTATGGCTTGGAAGGAAGACTTTATATTTAGTGTGAAGAAACTGGTGCCTTACAGGTGATTTCTGGAGCATGAAGAGCCCTGCTCTCTTGCACCGCAGAGCTTACAAGACTGTGACTTTGGGTTCTCTGGGTCTTTGATGTGATGAATCATATTAGCCAAGCTGAACTGTATACCTACACTGTATAACTTGGCAACTGCTTCTAAACGGCTGTCAATATGTAAGCTGGAGGAAAAAAATATATACATATTGTTGGGTGTTCATTTTAAAGTAGTACTTAATCTTAGCCTGCATTTACATATGGATCTACTTTTCCAACATTTTTTTACCTAAAAAATGTGTTTTTCGTCTTTGAACGAATCCCAGAGTTAAACTCTGACATTTTAACCTAAGTACTTAACAAAATTAAGATTACAACCCAACGTGTAATATAACGGTAGCTAACCATATATTTTATAGATCACTTAAAAGCAACTGCACTTTTCCCTCTTTTACTCGCACATTAAATTTTGCATTTAGGTTTAGTAATGTCTTCTATAATGGATATTATATGTTCTCTGCACATTGCAGTAGCCTTTTCTGTAGCCAACGTAATGCTTATATGCAAATAAAATGACAGTCTTCTGGGTTTGCTAAAACTTGCATATGATTTGAAACCTCTGCACTAAAATAAGAAATGCTGTGCTTTTTAGATGTGGTAATATCATACTGTACCGTGTACACAGAAGAGCAATATCTTGTCAAAAGGTGTACTGCTTTTGCAAGAGTCTATCTGTGTATTTTATTCAAGAATTTAAGCTTCCATCTGTTAGAGCTGTACCTTAGCCGAGATATATCAATGGATGTTGGTTATATGTTTTATATATTTAAAATGCATTAAAAAAGAGTCTTAGGGGCCAGTTTATAAAGCATGAACGTAATGTTAGTTATACCACTGCTTTAAAAAAAAAAAAAACACACTCATTTATATTCCATTTACATCAAATGTGTTTTATAAATGTGCTTAGCGTTCTGCTAACTTTAGGAATCTGTATAATAACAAATAATTTGCATTAGCAGATTGGTCTCATTTAGTTTATTTTCCCCTGGGGTGACAGGGAATA